ACAAACGGATGCTCCGGATGATTGGAGATCCGCCTCCGACGGTCAAGTTAGTACTTGATTAAGGAGTAATTAATGCGGAAATTAAAGTGATTGGGTCTCTCTAGGTGAGAGTGTTTAATGTGTGTAATCTGTGTAATCTCCCTTAATGAGGATTAAGGGAGGTATTTATAACCTCGGGAAACGTGCCAATCTAGGTTTAGGTTAACCTTGGGCTGATTGGGCTTCCCTCGGAAGTTGGGCCTAGGTGACCGGCTTCTCCATTAGGCATGGAGTATGCCACGTGTCATGACATAATAAGTCCAAGGTGGACGAATAAGCGTGTGCCACGTGGCAAGCCCTGAGAGGTCCAACTGGGGGACACTTGGCAGGACCTGATTGGCCCATGTGGCGCATTCTGATTGGTGGGAGCAAAATCCCCTAATCAGTGGTGTCCTATTATCAGCTGTCTCATTAGATGGAAATAATGAGATCTTCCATGTAGCAGTGGCAATGGTTGACTTAGAAAATAAGCAATCTTGGTGTTGGTTTTTCCACCATTTGAAGCAAATTCTGACTAACACAGACACAGGGAGAACTGACTGGACCATAATGTCAGATAGACAAAAGGTAGTGTACTCATCCTTTTTGCATTTTACAATTAATAATTACTTAAGCTAACTCTGATTTAATTATTGCACTAATTGTGATTTAATTATTGTAGGGAATTGATCCCTCCTTGGATTAAATATGGCCCAAAGTACCTAGGAGGTACTGTTCTAGGCATCTCTGCAAGAATTTCAACTCTAACTATCCAGGCATGCCGATGCATAAGATGTTCTGGGCAATCACAAATGCAAACTCAGAGTTCATCTTTAAGAAGGCACTCACCAAGCTTCAATCAATTGCTGGTTTGGGAGCTGTGAAATGGTTGGAGTACTTGGATCACTAGAGAAATGGACTAAGTGGAGATTTGAGGCCCAACTATGTTCTAATGAGAATACTAACAACTTTGTGGAGAGCTTCAACAGCACAATTGGAGTAGACAAAAGCTACCCTATTCTCACCCTCTTAGAAGGTATAATTGATACTAATTTCTGTAATATTTGGGAACTAGGTGAAAGTATGACATCATTGTTTATTGTTCTGTGCAGATGTTAAGAGAATTGCTATGGTGAGGCATGCCACCAGACAACAAACCAGTGAGCAATGGGTTGATGGAGTTTTTCCTAACATCAGAGAAAGAGTTAAGGTTCTGATGAAAGAGTCCAGAACTTGTCATGCTTATCCAGCTTGAAAGGGTGAGTATGAAATCTCAGATGGTAAAACTATGCTCCCTATCTCATTGAACTCTAGGATTTGTGTGAGTGGAAGGTGGCAAATCAGTGGCATTCCATGTAGACATGGAATTAGGGCACTGTTAGATGTTGGGAGAGAGCCAACTGATTATGTGAGTGAGTGGTTTTCAGTGGCTAGGTATAAGGCAACTTATGCTGGGAACATATTGCCCATCCCAAATCCAGAACAATGGCCTGATTTGGAGTTCCCAAAGATTGTGCCTCCTCCAATCAAGAGAAGTGTGGGAAGACCCTCTAGGAATAGAAGAAGAGAGGAAGGAGAGTAAAGAAAGGGAAAGAAAAGTGCTATTGTGACACTTTAACTTGCAAAGGGGGGGAAACTAAGAAAGAGTTGCTGGAACAACAGGGGAAGACACCAAAGCAAGCTAAGGGCAAGGGAAAAATGCATACAAGGCAAGGCAGTCAACCATGTAACACCAACTTGATTGATCTCATGATATATGGTGCTACATTATCCCAACAAGTTCCCAGTTCCAGCTAGAGCACACTCCAACTTCAAGTCAGCCACCACCTACTAGAAAAAGGTCAATGCCACCACCAAGTGAGAGTTACAGCCAACCCATCCCAAGAAACACAACCAGATCAACTGCCAAAGCTGGTGTATCCACTTAGCCTCCACTAGCATCAGAACTACAGCAGAGTATTAGCTGAAGGAGGCAAAAAATTCACAGGCTATCAATGATGTAATTTGATCCCCTGTTGCATTTATTTTGGCACTACTTTTGCAAATAATATTAGTTTGGTTTGTATCCACTTAAGTGGGTTTTTTTTATACTAGCAAACTACTTAACTTCAGTGGCTTTTTTGGACTACCACTTGCTTAACTTATGAATTTGTTTTTGGTAAACAGATATGATTTTGATATGAGTAGCCCATCTCATCTCAGTGATGATGTTTATATGGTTAGCAAATTTTGTCATGTCTTATATGCTATTTTAATTGCACATATAAATTGCGCACAATACACACAACAACACAGTTAAATCAAAACCCAAATTTATGTATACCATATATTATTTAATCTGGGTTACATCAAGCTAAGTTTGGCAATCAATTACCCCCTTTTTTAAGCATTACGATCACCAATAAAATTACATACATAAACACTCCAACCCTCATAAATTTCCTAACATATGACATCAAGTCTGTCAACTTCAACATCACTGAATCAATCCCATTGCTATTGTTCTTCAGTGCATCAAGCCCTTGAATATCACTTTCATCCAGCCACTTGAAGAATCCACAATCATTGCACTTGAAAAAAGCTTTCCTTGGGTTGCGGTTCGTGGTTGAGATCTTCATTTTCGCAACTTTGGGTGGGCTGCACCAACAACGTGGGCTGAGAAACTCTAAACGACAGGTGGAATTGGAGGGAAAAGAGCAGCGAGAACTTGTTGAAGACATGGAGGGGTTTTGGAGAGAGAAAGCAATGTAAACCCTAATTAAATTGTAAATTGGGGAAAAATAAGGGAAAGGGTATAAATAAAGGGAGGGAATGGAGACCTGTACAATTGGAGGGAAAATTTCCGCCAAAACTTAACAAATCTAACAAAAACGCAGCTCCAGATAAGTTAACGGAACCAAACTAATGGAGACTTAACGCCAAGGTAGATACAAACAGGACCTTGGGGTTACATTGTAGACTTTTTAAAAAGCATAGGCACAGCGTAGAATTTCGAAGTCTTAGGGGTTATAATGTAGAATTTCCCAAAAAATTATTATGTCTAACAAATAAAAGTGATGCTTTAAATTAATTTCTTTAATATCAATAATATGAATCAATTTTATTACGGAATATTACTTTTTTAGCAAAATCTAATGTTACTCCGTCTATCAAATAATTAAAAAGGAGTTAGATTAATATTTTAGGGAAGAATTATAAGCACCAAATAAGAGGGAATATTTTTGTCATAAAGATAATATAAATGATTTGAAATGATATTATTATAATTGTATCAAATATTCACCAAAAAAAATGGTTTAAAAGGGACAGAGAATTTTAGAGGGAAAAAATAACACCATGATGTGACACATGTCTCTCCCGGTGTCTGTTTTAGTATTAAGTTCACCACAAGAAAAAGGTCAATTTCCGACGGAAACGAAAATCCGTCGGAAAAAACGAAATTTTCGATGGATTTAAATTCCATTAGAAATTTCCGACGAATTTAGATTTTATGTCGGAAATTTCCGACGGAATTTAAATCCATCGGAAAATACATAGTTTCCGACTGATTTTCCGACGGAATTTTAGTGAGTTCCAACGGATTTTCCCATTTTTTTTTTTAAAAAAGAAAACCCCCAAAACCCCCCAGCTCTCTCATTTCTCTTTTCCGCCTTATACTTCTATCGTTTCTCTTTCTCTTTCCTCTTCTCCTTTTCCCTTCTCCTTTTCTTGTTCTTTCCCCTTCTCCCGTTCTTTCCCCTTCTCCTTTTCTCTGGTCCTCTCATTCTCCTTCTCTCTCTTCTTCGATCTCCTCCTTCCCTCCTCTTCTTTCCCCTCTTTCTGACCACCTCAAACGGCGACACCACCACAACAACAACGACACCACCACCGCACAACAACAACAACTAATGATCTTTGTGGTGGTTCTACGGTGGCGCAGCAGCAGCAGCAACAACAACAACAACAACAACAACAACAACAACAACAACAACAACAACATTAAACGCGGCGGCCTGTCACCCACTTTGAAGGTTTTTTGTAGATCTAGGTTAGATTGTAGATCTAGTTTTATTTTTTGTAAAAACAATTGTGATTATAATTAATTTTTGATGTAATTGTAAAGTTATTTTATTAATTTCAGAAGATAATTGTATATTTATTTATTTTGTTTGATTTCAATATTTTTTTTTTGTTTATTTTTTCCGAATCTTTGTGAATGGTCATGGTGGTGGTGGGTGGCTATTTTTGTATTCTGATTTTATTTTGGGGGGCTGTTTTTTTATTTTGGGGGTTCAGATTGTGAGGTGGGTGGTGGTGGTTGGTAGATCTAGGCGACGAGGTGGAGATAAGAGATTATTTGGGTGGTGGGTTGAGGATATGTGTTAGGGTTAGGGTGGTGGGGAAGGATACAGGTTAAGGTGGTAGGAGGGTTTTTCGGGCAGGTGGTTTGGTTGGAAAATGGGTTGGGAAGGTGATTTGGTGGGAAAAGGGTGGACGTGGTGGTGTGGGGTGATTTTTTTTTTTTGTGGTAGGATTTTTCGTCGGAAATTTTCGGCGGAATATAGTCCGTCGCAAATTTCCGACAGACTTTTCCTTGCCGGAAAATCTCTTTCGACGAAGGAATTCCGTCGGAAAAGTATTTTTGACGGAAATTCCGTCGAAAAAGGTCGTTTTTTCTACAAAATCTTTTCAGACAACCGATTCCGGCGGAATTCCGTCGAAAAGGTGTTTTCCGACGGAAATTCCGTCAAAATGGGGTTTTCCGACGGAAGTCAGGGTATTTTCGACGGAAATGGCATGTATTCTAGTAGTGGTTATTGATTATTACTATTATTTTTCATTTTGTGCTTTCCCGCTTCGACCCTGTGATCCGCCCAATAACCAGGTCTAATTGTTACTATTATTTTCCATCATTTAGTGCTTTAATTAAAATAACACCTATAATGATAATTTGAGGAGAAAAAGAGAGATCAAATGATTCAAATCATTGAATTAGAACAAAATGAAATTAAAGATACTACTATTTTTTATTTTATGATGATAAACAAACTTTATTCGTTCCTCTCAATTATTATATGAAAATAGGGAGAGGCAAGTGCACATTTAGGTTCAAGCTAAGCTAAAACTTTAGCATAAATAAAGTATGTATAACTTGGTTTAATAAAAAACCAAATTAACAAATAATGACTTTACAATCAAGTAGAGTCAAATAACTCTTACGCTACACATATCCATAGATCCAACTACTTAACAAATTGTTAAGCTATGTTAAAATCCCCATATTATTGTAATCTTATAGCTTCTAGATGTGATTTTCCATTGAGCTTACTGGCAAAGAACTCCTTGTAGTATTGTATCAATGGTTGCGTTCGGAAAACTGGAGGATTAAAAGGACCAATAATACTCTTAGCTGGTCCTAATTCGGAATCAATGTTGGGGCTATTAAATGTGGCAATTGATATCCTCTCTTTCGTCGAATTCACTGTTGCTTTGTGCTCAATACTTCGATATATTCCATTGCTCAAAATCTGTCAACCATGAAAGAAGTTAAGGGTATGAAATTAATCTACGGAGTATATAAGTAAATTAATTTTAAAAAAAGGCGAATATGAATGTATCAACCTAGAAGCAAGTTAGAGTATTAAATTAATCTATATAAAAGAAATTAATAAATATAAATTAAAAAGACGGATAGAAATGTTTTATACTTGAAAACGTTTAGAAGGATCCTTGGATATATTTTTTCGTTCTCTAACAAATACTACATTTTCATATATTAGCAAGTTCTTATTAACAAATGCTACATTTTCCTATATTAGAAGTTCTATCCATCAATAAGTTACTTGTGTGAATAATATATAAACTAAAGTCCCATAATTTCTATTCCAATCATAAATACACTCATACAAAAGTAATTATATATAGTATCATACTTTAAAGTATATACTACTAGCAAGCATGCATACCTCTAAAGCGTCTCCAACGTTTAGCACAAAAGCATTTTCAAGAGGCATAACGGGCACCCAATTGCCATCTTTCTTGATTTCGAGGCCTCCGATATCATTCAGCTGATAGAGGACAGTAAGGGCATTTGCATCCGAATGAGGAGTGAGCCCTATGGCCTTGTCAGGCTCGGGACATGGAGGGTAGTAATTCATTCTCATTGTTTGATACTCTTCATTGAATAACTCTGTCATTTCACCCTCGTCGATCCCTAATGCTTTAGCCATCTGGTTTAGGAGAGTTTGAGCTAAACCCTTTACTGCTGCTACGTAAGCTTCCATTGTTACCCTGTCACACACATTTTATTAACAATCTCTCATCCGTCAAAGATAATACAAGTTTATAGCTTTGATAAACAAAATTTGGAGGAAGCCTCAGTTTATCATAATGACAAACAAAACTTATTTATTTAATGGTAGAACTATAAATAAATCAACAAGTTTGCCCAATCATCATGACGTTTTCGTAATTAACTCAACATTTGTGTGGCCATTTTTTATAAAAGGTTGTTGAGTTAATCACAGTTTTGCCAATGGATAAACAGATTTTGTTTATCAAGGTGATAGATTTATATTTTCTCCAAAATTTGTTGGTCAAGGGGTAAAACTATTAATAGTGCGAGAATATAGTAAGTTTAAATATTGGCACCATCTTTTATAAAATTTGTCATTTAAACATAAGAGGATAGTAAAATTTAATTAACTCTATTAAAAAGAAGTTATTATAGAGAGAATTAGAGAGGAACCTTAAGTTTTGAGGCAACTTATTGTAAAGCTCAGGCTTTCTCAATTGAGGAGGAAGAGTAATTAAGAAGAACATATCACACCAATCAAGTTTTTGGTCTTCCGAAACGACAAACAATTGCCCAAATCCCTCATGATTGTCTTCTGTTTGCCATAGTTTCTTCTTTTCCTCCATTGGAAGCTTCAAGAAATTGGTTACCTCTAACTTGAATGTTTCCAACAATGAAATACTAACTCCGTGGTTTGTTACCTAGCAAAATTATTGTTCAACAAATTAAAGCACATTACTTGGGACTAGAGAATAGGATTATAGCGGTTTACAATACAATTTCTTTCGCGATTACAACTTAAAAAGGCAAGTTAAATTGGATCATAGCCTTTATAATAATTACTGTTTAATTAGGGATTTAATTGCATTTCTATCTTCCATTATTGAAGTGGAGATTTTCTTCGTCCTTATACAAGAAATAAACTAACCCCGTTACAATGGACCAATGATTATAAAAGTGACGGATCTAGAATTATTATGTTGCTGGGACACTATTAATTACCAACAATATATGCTGAATTTATTTTGTAGTTTTTGTTTTAAATATGATAATTTTATAGCCGATGTAAATAAAATAAAAAAAATAAAAAAATGTCGCTCGATAGGGTGAGTAGTCCCGGTCTAGGGTCTCATAGTGCGAAAAAAACTTTATTCCAATTTCTCTAGCAATTTCATAATAATTTCAAGCCAATTAATTCTCTGAGATAGTTTTGATTGTTAAGAATGGAGGATGAATGGAAAATTTTCAATTAACGGAGGATAAAGGTGTTGTTTTGGGTGGAGACTATGTTGAAACCCTATAATCTAGAGGCGATGAAGCGTACCTTGACGAATGTATGGAAATTAAAGGAGAAGTTTGCTATTAGGGTTGTGGAAACAAATTTATTTGTTTTTCAATTCTTTTGTGGGGAGGATAAAGCGAGAGTGCTGGAAAGGTGTCCTTGGTTCTTTGATGAAAAATTGCTTCTGTTACAGGAAGTGAAGGGATATGAACAACCATTGGAAATAACCTTCAAACACACTCCAATGTGGGTGAGGTTGCTTGATGTGTCGTTCAATAAGCGCTATGTTTCAGTAATGTATGATGTGGGTGAGTTTCTTGGAGGCTTTATGGAGATGGATGACTCCGATCCTCTGGGATGGGGGGAGAATATGCGAATTAAAGTGCTTATAGACATCAATAAGCCCTTGAGGAGAGGATTATTTCTTGCTATGGGCAACAATCAGTCTCGTTGTATTGATATAAAATATGAACGCTTAGCTGATTTCTGCTTCTTTTGCGGGCGACTGGATCACACGGAGAGGGAGTGTCAGCAGAAGGAGCAAGCTAAGGATGATGAGAAGAAGATGGTTTATCAGTATGGACCTTGGCTTCGAGCTTCCCCAAAAAAGTTCAGGTTTGATGCGGGTGAAAAAGAATTCGAGAAAGCTTGGGTGGAGAGTTTGAGGACTTCGATTATCACCAGAAAGATCCCTACCTATAATGATCCTAATGTGATAAAGCTGGGACAAGTTGGTGCGGCGAGAAAATTATGTTTTGCCTCTCCAATTAAGCAGGGCAGTGAGAAGGGAGTTGGTGTTAAGCAAAGTAGGGAGGCAGGTCTGCAGGTGGTTAAAAAGGGGATGGAGGGGGAGATGGTGCTGCAGACAATTGGGATAGGCAAACAGGAAGACAATCATGAGGGATTTGGGCAATTGTGTCGGAAACTAGACTAAAGAAGCATGAAATGGAGAAAATCAAGACAAATTTGAAGTTTAGTAATTTTCTAGTTGTGTGTTGTGAAGGAATAGGAAGGAAAGGGAGTGGTGGGTTAGCTTTGTTATGGAAAGACTCGTTTGATGTGGAAATAAAATCCTTCTCTATGAATCATATTGATGCGTGGGTAAGATGGCCAAATATTGGAAGATGGAAGTTCACAGGGATCTATGGGTCCTCGAAGGAAGAAAATAAATTCAAGACCGGTCTCTTGCTTGATAATCTTCATAATAATCACAGCGGTCCGTGGATTTGTGGGGGTGATTTTAATCTCATGCTCACGTCAAATGAGAAAAAGGGGGGGAGGGAGTTTAACATTGTCGAAGCTGAGATCCTAAGAAATGTTGTTGCGGTGTGTGAGTTTGAGGATATTGGTTACATGGGACATGACTATACTTGGACAGACAATACAGGTGGGGAAGGGAATGTTCAAGGAAGGCTGGATCGTTTTTTTGCTAATAAAGAGTGGTGTGCCCTTTTCTCTAGATCTTTTGTGTCACATCTATCAAAACGAAAGTCAGACCATTTGCCTCTGCTTTTTTGTATTAGTGAAGGGGTTGGTAAGCCAAAGAAGAAAAAATTAAATACAAAAAAACATTACAAGTTTGAGGAGATGTGGTTAAGAGATGAAATGTGTGGGGATATTGTAGCAAATGTGTGGCACTATGGTGGTGTCATATGCTCAAAAATAGCTCATACCTCCATCAATTTGAGTGCTTGGAGCCATAACAAATTTGGCGATTTTGTGAAAGAGTTGAAAGATTGTAGGGCTTGTATGGAATGCCTTATGAAGGAGGATCAAACTGATGATACTATAGCCCAGATGAGAGCTTTAGATGACAGAATGGATAAGTAGGAACGAAGAGAAGATTTATTCTGGAGAAATAGAAGTAGACAGGACTGACTAAGGAACGGAGATAAAAATACATCATTTTTCCATCAGAAAGCAGGTCAGAGAAAGGCAAGAAACCATATACGGGAGATAAAAGATGCGGCTGGCAATCTTTATCGTGAGGAGGAACAGATTTATGAGGTTCTAGCAAGCCACTTCGAAGACTTATTTTCATCAGGGGGTCAAGGGGAAGCGAAGAGTTTCATTGATAAGGTCGATACAAAAATAACAGAGGAACAATTTGCTGATCTTGCTGCTCCGTTCAATGGTGAGGAAGTTCGTGAAGTGCTCTTCTAAATGTATGCATCCCACAAAAGTCGCGGGCCCTGATGGTATGTCTGTAATTTTCTATCAAAAACTCTGGAATATTGTCGGTGATGATGTGCTTAAAAGTTCTCTGAGTATTCTTAATAATGTAGGTAATATAAGTACTATTAATCAGACTCACGTTGTTTTATTTCCGAAAAAAAAAAGAATGCGAGTCTCCTATTGATTATAGGCATATTAGTCTGTGTAATGTCTTGTATAAGATTATTTCAAAAGCTTTAGCAAATAGGCTTAAGAAAGTACTACCTACTATTACAAAGACAACATTTTGTGCCGGGTAGATTTATTACAGAAAACATTTAGGTGGCTTATGAATGCTTTCATTATCTGCGGAAAAAGAAGACAGGGAAGAAAGGATTTTTGGGGTTGAAGTCGACATGAGAAAAGCATATGACAAAGTAGAATGAGATTTTCTGGAAAAAAAATGATGAAAAAATTTGGATTTCCTGAGATGTTTGTGAAAAATATCATGAATTGTGCTTCATCAGTCGGTGATGTTCTTGTGAATGGCCAACCGTCCCGGGTTTTCAGGCCTGGTAGAGGGCTCCGGCAAGGCGACCCTCTTTCCCCCTTTCTATTCATTATGTGTGCAGAAGGTCAATCGGCTCTCCTGAGAGATTCGGAAAGAAACAAATTGATCCATGGAGTAAAAGTTGGTAGATATGTGGAGCCTATATCTCACTAGTTTTTTGTAGATGATAGCCTTCTTTTTGTCTGGCGAATGAAGATGAAACTATAGATTCTTTCAACCTATGAAGTGGCGTCGAGCCATAAACTAAATATGGAAAAATTAGAAGTGTCTTTTAGCCGAAACATTGATCGTGAGAAGAAAAATGTGCTTCATATGAAGTTATCTTGTAAGGTTATCGAAGGACATGAAATATATTTAGGCCTCCCAAACTATATTGGTAGTCTAAAAAAATAGTTTTCCAGAGTATTTAGGATCGAGTTTGGAAGAAACTTAAAGGTTGGAAGGAAAAAAATTTATCTCAAGCGGGTCGAGAAACTTATTAAGTCTGTGGCTCAAGCAATCCCTACATACGCAATGCAATGCTTCTCAATTCCGAGTAGCATTCTGAAAGAGGTGGAGAGAATGTGCAGGAATTTTTTCTGGGGCCAAAAAGGAGAAGGAAGGAAAATTTGCTTGGTCATGTAGAACAAGATTTATAGGGCAAAGAATAATGGTGGCTTGGCTTCCAGAATATGCAGCTATTTAACAAACAAATGTTAGCAATTTAAAACAGGCTTGGCGTACCTTGACAAATGAGACTTCTCTTATGTCTCGGGTGTTAAAAGGTAAATATTTCCCTCAATCTTCTTTTCTATAAGCAAAAGTTGCCTCTAATTCTAGCTTTACGTGGAGGTCAATTTTGAGTGTGAAGGATGTGGTTGAAAAGGGGGCAAGGAAGAGTGTTGGGTTGGGGAGCAGCATTCATATCTGGAATGACCCATGGGTGCCAAAGCTACCTGATTTTGGTGTTATTTCATAGAGGGGAGAAGGAGAAAACATCCCAAATTTTGTCAACGAGCTATGGGATGATAAGAGTTGGAACCTGGTAGTGCTCAGTGAGAGCTATTTAACCAGAGGGAAGTAGTCAATATTAGCAGCATTCCTATTCCAACGTTTGATGACGGGGATGGTTGGACGTGGCATCATTCGAAGGATGGGAATTATAATGTAAAAAGTGCGTACAACTTAATGATTGAGGAGGAGGAGAGGGGAAGAGCTTCTACTTCAGTAGGAAGGAGTGAGTTCAAGTGGAGGACTATTTGACATGCTCACATTCCGCCAAAAGTGAAATTTTTTGCGCTTAAATGTGGACAAGTTGTGTCCAATGTGTGGGGAAGAGGATGAATCAATTTTGCAAATGCTGCAATTGTGCCTAACTGTGTGAGTGATTTGGAGATATTCGGCGCTAAGGTTGGATATTAAGCTTAAAGGGGATGGTGGGTTCAGAGAATGGTGTTCTGCTATGAAGGAAAAAATTAGTGAGGCTAGGTGGTGGGATATGTTTTGGTGTTTGGCTTGGGGAGTGTGGCTGAGACGAAACGGATGGGTTTTTTAAAGTAAGAGGAAGCTGGAGTTGGAAGTCATTCATAAGGCTGTCTGCCTTGTTGGTGAGTATGCTGATGAATTAAAGAAGGATGTGGTGAAGCAGCCTTTACTTCAGATGGGGTCAGTTTGGAAAGCCCCTGACAATGGCGTGTATAAGCTCAATACTTATGCTGCTTTCTTCGACCAGCGGAAGCTTGGGAGTGGGGGTATCTTGCGTGATAGTGTGGGAGATATAGTGTTGGCTTGCTGTGAGTGTGCTCATTGTGACTTCGAGGTTGATGTGGGCGAAGCATTTGCAATGAGGTAGAGCTTCAAGGTTGCAATTGAAGCGGGATTCAGAGATTTTGTGCTAGAAACAGACAACATCAAGCTATTTCATCATATGAAGAAGGGCATTACTCCTCCAAACGAGTTTGGCAAGCTGGTAAAGGATATTTTGAGGCTCTCGAAATTAAAGATTGTCGAAAGGTGTCTTTCTCTTTCATTAGGAGATCGGGAAATGAAGTAGCACATTGTTTAGCTAACTTAAGTTGCAATTTTAATGAGTTTCGTGTTTGGCTTGAAGAGTACCCTCTTGATTTACAAGGGGTCATTTGTAACGATATTGCAAACTTGGTGCCTTAATAAAATTTGTGCTCCGGTTTGTGTCAAAGAAGAAGAAGAAGAAAAAAAAATAGAAAATTTTATTGCCATTGTAATCTTTCAATTAGGATCATGTATGTTCAAATATTATTTCTACACTATCTATGAAATTGACCTTTTAATTATACCTTTCAGATTTTTGTAAAATGCTTGTATGACATCAAGACAATTTTAAAATAAAAGTAATAACAAAACAGCAACAACAACCGCAGAAGCAGCAGCAAGCCAGGAATATTGATTTGTCAAGTAACAAGTAGAATTGGACCACTAAAAATGGAAGTTTTAAAGAAAAGAGAATTAGAAGGAAAATTTTACTCTGTTATTTTATTTATTTTTTATTATTATTATTTTTTATGTTACTCGTTTATTTTTATTTTTTTTAAAGGTTAGATGAAAGACCTTAATGAACACCTCTCACAGGTTTAGCAAGCACCTCTCACAGGTTTAGCAAGCCTAACTTCGCACGTTGCACTTGAGAGTAGAGGGGGAAAGTAAGGGAATCCCCCTACTCCCAAGCATTTTGTAGTTAGTGGGACTTGAACTTGTGACCTCAAAGTCACAAGGTGAGTTCCCCACCAACTCCACACTTATTGTTTAATACACTTCATTGAATATAATTTTTGCTTATTATATTTACTTTTAACATTTTTTTTTTTTTTTACGGAGTATCATTTTAACACAACTATTATTGCTACGAGTACAATTTAGCGATACTTATTGAAAATCTAACATACTTTTTGTATAAAAAAATAAAAAATTTTACTTGTGTTAAATAATAAAAAATACCGTAGAAAGGACCTAAAACAATACTCCCTCCATTTTTAAACACTTGCTCTTTTTTTTCATGTGCGAAGTTTTAGGAGAAATTGGAAAAGTATTAAAATATGGAGGTAGTGGGGTATGTGAAAGAATAAAAAATTGTAAAAAGCAAAAGTAGTTGGAAGACTTAGAGGAGAAAAAATGTGAAATTAATAAAATATGATTTAGGTAGAGTCTACTAGTTGAGATAGATGAATTAAATATTGTAAGAGTTTTTCAAATAAGGAAATGGAGCAAGTATTTAAAAACGGCCGGAAATAGAAAGTAGAACAAGTATTTAAAAACGGAGGGAATAAAACAAGTTGGCAGATCGACCCGGCATGATAAATATTACACTAGTAGTACACTATGGAGTTTCAAAGTACCTGGAAAAATCCCCACTCTTTGCAAGCCAAGTGAAGTTTGTTTAGTTCAGAGTCCTTAGAATCACCATGGAGAAGCCTTTGAAGGTCAATCACTGGAACCGATAACGGCAATGAAGGGTTAATCGGATGATCCGGCTGGTCGCCGTTCTCTACCACATACCTTGAAGGGATATTGGTTATGGACTCCTTGGCTAGCTCTTTTACGCTTGGCACTATAATTGATTTTCCTAAGTTAACCCCTTTTGGTGCTTCTTTCTCCATGTTTCTTTTGCTCTTATCAAGCATTAAACACTCAACTATATATTGGTCTAAATAATATTGATTAGGATGAATATGGAAGTAATATACAAAGTATACATAATTCTTGACTATTACTTTTTGTCTTTATATGATTAAACACCACTATGTTAGAATATTCTAATTATATCACGGACAACCATCCACCTACCAAATCAATTGTCTTTTGTTGAATTTAATTATTTTATAATTAAGGGATACACATCAAAGTATGCCTTTATTTAGCTACACTAGATTAAACCCCGTGCAATGCACGTTTATTAAATAATTACAATAATAATAAATTTTAACAAATAAATTTATATAAAACATTATAAATAGACTTCATATTAAAAAAATTATGAAATATATGTGAAAGAAAATAATTAAACATGTAATAGTTATTTTGGGCAATTTAAGCAAGTTTAATTTAGATTTTGAAAAAAAAAAAAAAAAAAAAGTCATAATTTAAATACAACCTTAATTTTTAGGTTTTTTCTTTTAATATCTTTTCGCTTTTAGTATATAATGTAATTGATGGATCCCTCATTGTAATTTGCCATACACTCAACTTTGATGGCTTCGTAAAAAAATAACCTTTGCAGTCGCTGACAACATTCTACGCCGACTTTCAGTTGTATGTCATCTATGCTTGCAACCTTAAACCTAGGATTTGTTCCAGCATCTATTTCCGAAGGCCTCAACTCTTTAAAAGTGTCTCTTATTCGCAGTTCACCAATGAATAAGACATACTTCCTTAGTCCCCTTTTAAGTGGTGGAGTTGTTTTTTAAAATTTTGCTCGTAAGGAGTTGATAAGAGAGAAGAATGGTTGGGTCATTTAGATATAATCGTCTAAATAATATTGATTATGAAGAATATGGAAGTAATACACGAAGATTTAGAACGATTTTCCAAAAAATTATTAAAATCAAAATTAATTTCTACTTTACATCGTTTTAAAAACTTATTCCCTGAATAGTGTTTATGTAGGATCGGGTTAAATTTATGTCGGATTAATAATATCAATTCGGGTTAAAACAGATCGGATTAAATTGGTTATTTGTCGGGTCATTTTCGGATCGGGTTGAGTTCAAGTCGGGTCAAATCGGTTCGGTTTGAGTTCAAGTCGGGACATATCAGGTTCGGGTTGAGTTCAAGTCGGATCAAATCGGTGCCGGGTTAAGTTCAGACCGGGTTAAATTCGGATTCGGATTAAGTTCAGTCAGTTACAATCGGATTTGGGTCATGAATTTCTCAGATCAAATCGGATCGATTATTATTCGAAACGGATAATCTTTTTAGGATCGGTTCGATTTTAAGACCTCTAATCCTAATCTTATATCACGGACAACCAGCGACCTACCAAATCAATTGTCTTTTTTTGAATTTAATTATTTTTTAATTAAGGGATATACACCAAAGTATGACTTCATTTAACTACTGTGGGTCCCCCTTTGTAATTTGCCATTAAACTCAAGTTACTCAACTTTGATGGCTCCATCCAAAAAAATCTTTGTAGATGCTGACATCATCCCATGCGTCTTTTGTCACATGTCATCTTTGCTTGCAACCTTAAACCTAGGATTTGTTCTAACTTCTATTTGCGATGCCTCAACTCTTATGTGACTCCTAATCGCAGTTCACCAAGGAATAAAACGTACTTCCTTCTTCCCCTTTTTTTGCTCCAAAGGGGTGGAGCTACTTGTAAAAAGTTGATAAGAGAGAAATATAATGGTGGAGTTAAATATACTGGTTGTGACTTTCGAGTGATCCCATTACCAAGTATAATACGGAGTAAACTTAAAAGAACGGACTTAAGAAGAAAATGGGGCAAATATTTAGGGAGAAATGAAGTATTTGTATTTAGGTTGATAAACTCTTAGTAGTTAGCACAATCAATAATATAATATTTGGCAATAAGCGCCATGAAAGATACATACAACACATCATCAACGATATCCAATAAGTGGCCTAATATAATCCGTATTTCCTCTAGATTCTTACTCATGAGTTGTTAGATGTTGCCGTAGAGAGTAGGGCCTCCTAATATATTTTCTTCTTACCTATCAAATAAAATTAACTACTTCCCCCCCCCCCCCCACCCCCAAACCAACCCAACAAAAAAAGAAAAAAAAAAAAAAACACCTACAATATATCAAAACTTAAGGTTTGTAAGAATTAAAATAGCTAAAATTACTCAGTAACAACCTAGCTAATTTTGATTGTTCAATTCTAATTTTGATTGTTTTCCTCAAGCTTAATTTATTTATTTTTGTGATTTTAATTTCAATAAGTCAGATGTAAGTGTAAGAAAAAAGAGACATTGTTATTTACACCCGGTTACACGGTGCACCTAAGGATATTTGATTGCTCATTTGATAATAAAATGAGTAATTAATCATCGAAATGAGCAAACAATACCCATGGGTAAACCGTGCACCCGAGTGTATATAACAATTTCTAAGAAAAAAAAAATGGTACCTGGAAAAATCCCCACTCTTTCCGAGTAAGATAAAGTTTAATTGTCTAATTCAGTCTAAGAATCACCATGAAGAAGCCTTTGAAAGTGAATCGAACATGAATGCATCACAAACTACGCTCTAATATGACTAGTCCATCTAGCCACGCCATATTTAGAGCTCACTACCCTGAACGCACCACAACTCCAATCGAATGATCCAAGAACTTGATTGACAACATACCTTTGTCAATGCAATAATTAATTAATATTGTTGAAATCATACATTTGCATCTAATTACAACTTACCACCGTAAAAGAAAGTAGAAGAAATTTGACTTTTTTATTCCAACTTAAATGCTCCAAATGTGTCTTCTTCATCAATGAGACTGTACAAATATACATTTTTGTGATCCATAGTATCTTTTTCTTCTACAAAACGTTTATGAGATTTCTCCGAAATTGGATTTGTATGTAAGATTAGCACTTGCATTGGTAAAGATACAAGTAATCTTTAATTTCTTTCATATATATATAGCCTCAACAATAGGTTGGTCTCCTAGCAATAGTTTGGAGCTTCTGCAAATTTCTAATTAACTTAGCAAAACTTCATGATAATTTAATTATAGGATTAAATTTCATTGTTTATAGAGTCCAACGCAACCAAAAAAAAATTATAAAAAGAAATCACGCAAAAACTTCAAATAGAACTCCAGATTTGATTGTAAACTATTGTGCTGTCCATAATTGACGCAAAAAAAAGTCCTCAGAAAAAACCTACAAGATTAATAGTTAAATCACGAAAATTAGTGAGATTTTACGGACGAAAACAAGACAAGAAAATATCCAAATTCAAGAAAAGAATCGCTGAAAAGACGCTTGTAACAAAGAAGAATAACGCCAAACAATATAATCTACAAACTGCTTTTTTAGGCCCGAATTTTGCCAAAAAAATACACGAATCTTCAAGGATTGCACAGTGGCGGAGCCACTGTGTGTCCTGCTAGGGCACGTGCCCTACCAAATTTTTTTAAAAAATAAAAAATAAAAAAAATAAAGTTGGTTAAAATTTAATTAAATAGAATACAAAGCGTACTTTAGTTCTTAAACTTACTAGTAGCTTAGTGGTTGGAACATTATCTTGTCTAACAAAGGTCAAGGGTTCTAATCCCTTACCCAACATTCTTCTTTTTTTTATTTCTCTTTTTTTTGCTTTATTTCTTTTATTTCTTTTTTCATCGCTTAATGTCTTATTACGATACGTAGATGTGCCTTGATTTTTTTTAAAAAAAATTTAAGACCTTGATAAAAGTGTTCTGGTGACGTACCATTGTTAAAATCCTGGCTCTGCCAGTTATCGCACCCTTTCCCTCGCCTAACCGCGGTAGCAGCAGCTTCACCAATTTGATGCAGATTTTAATAGTTTCCATTAAAATTTCGATCTTGGATGGATGCATGGTAGTTTAGATTTCGCGCAATTTTGTGATTGATGAACTAAATTAAAAGGATATGGAACAATCTAATATCATTTTCATATCATATAACTAATAAATAAAGTCAGTCTCCCAGTCAGGCTACGAGACAGCGACACTTGTCATTCAAGTTTTTCGTCAAGTTTTGCACCATGTAGGAGATAAATAGGTATTATTGTGACACGTTTGATGCTAAGTAAACGATTTTTGGATAGATTTTTTAAGATAAAATTGTTGTATAGAGTTTTATTATCGATAGAATTCTAATATTTTGTATATACAAAATTATTCATAACTTTTAATAAATATCGTATAACTCATTCTATTTCCATCATCAAATTCGTATTAAAAAGATCTTTAAAATAAAATCCATTTATAATATATTTAATCACAAACTTTTATACGTAGCTGGCCAAACCGTGTCACCACTATTACAAGATCAGAGTTACTTCGTTAGTGCTATAGGGGTTACTTGGTCAGTGTTATAGTGGTTACTCAATCAGTATTATAGATAGGGGTTACTTAGTCAGTGTTAGAGGTTACTCAGTTAGTATTACAGGGGTTACTCAGTCAGTTTTATAGAGGTTACCTTGTTTGGCAAGATGGTGTGGCTAGACGCATACAAAATGCATTGTTATTTAATTTATTTTAAAATAATATGAGAGAATCAGTAAAAATTTTAATCAATAAAAATGATTTTAGTTTGGTAAAAATACTTTCAGTTCAGTGAAAATAATTTAACTTTAATAAAAATAATTTCAAGTCATAGATATCTATTTACAAACGAAACTACAAAAAGTACACTATCATATAAATATAAGCCATATGATATCGTATATATGTCTAAATATCCTACATTATCAGAACGAATTATTGACCGTATTTAACATTCAAGTAAAAATATTATATTATCTTAAAGTTTTATCAACCACCTGGGCATCGCCGGGCACAAAACTAGTCACTAATAAATAAAGTCGGTCTCGCAGTTAGGCCAAGAGGCAGCAACACTTGGCTAGAGGTGTCAAAATCATACCTGACCCGACCTGATCCTAAACCGACCCGAAAAATATCCAATTCAGTTTTGAACTCGCGTGGACATAATAATTTAGCATGACTCAACTTTAAAATTGACCCGATCTGACCCGACC